ATTGGTTAGGCCAAGCAAACTAGATTAGCTGTTTCTAGCTCAAGTTTTCAAAAGAATAATATGGGTGGACAGTTATTATTCATTATTCATTGCCAACTTTTAAGCACAACTTTACTAAATTCTAGCTCAAGTTTTCAAAAGAATAATATGGGTGGACAGTTATTATTCATTATTCATTGCCAACTTTTAAGCACAACTTTACTAAATTTTGTGAAATTCTACAAATTAAAGAGTGTTCAGCGTCACGAGATATTAATTTAAGCAAATAGTGTAAATAATGACGCTTGATACAGCTGTGCCGAGTGCAAGCGTGTGATGACAAGAAACTGTTAATTTAGTTTCCATGGTGTTACTATAAAGGAATTTATTAACACTGTTTTAGAAAGGAAAACTACCACCATATATTTTAAAGAATTTGGTTGATTCTATAAATTATAGGTCTGTTCTGAATAACAGGGTTGCAATCCTAAAGCTAATGTGGGTTACTATCATGTGTCACTTTCTTACATGCTGTGATTTGTTGGTGTGTTGACAAATGGCCATGATATCTAATCAGAAACACTTTAGGTGTGAAAAAAAGGTGCGGCCAAAAAGGCATTGAGCGTACGACTTAAAGGAATGAAATCAAAATTGTAGGCCAAACTGGTAAGCTACACTTATAGCGTTTATTAGAATTTTACAGTCAATATTCAGTCATTAGTTAGATTGGCCGTGTATTTTGTTTTAACCACCATCATTCCATAAGTTGAACATTGTATAGCTTTGTGCTTAACTACAAACGAACGAATAACTAACATAGAAATAGCTTAAAATTATTCCCATACCTGGTTAAGCAGAGCCCCAACAGTGAGATTGAAAGAAATGGCGCCCAGATGTCCAAATTATCATTCCACTGATCGTTAGACCCTATAGCTGTCAGTTGTTATGTGTCCTGGCAGTTTATTTGATGTGGAATTAATTACTTCAGTAGAAATACTTAATCATCAGGGACGCTCAAAAATTAAGAAATCCTCCTTCGCCCCGCTCGTGGGTTACAGGTATGGGTTTGAATTGAAGACTAGGTTGAATGAGCAAAGTATGATAAGTTAACTGGACAGAAGTTTATATATTTATATTAATAAACAGCCGATCTCGGACAGATGGTCTTTCAGGGCTGTGGGGGTCTATAAATCCTATGCCAAGTAAGAGCTGTTAGTTCCGTGAAACCTCCACCTTTTATTGGGTACAAATAATGCAGTAGTAAACGTCAGAGATAATTTATGACAAGTTTTGAATGCTCAGTGGAAGGCATGGCATTTGACCACTACTGATATCTGTATAAAGCAAAAGCTGTATCAATGGCAAATTGAGAGTTTAGCTCGAGGATATATATATAATGTAATTGCGAAATTCCACGGAAAGTTACAATGCCTTAGATGGTAGTAGAAAATGTTGAAATAAATAGTTTAGACTGAAGAAGTCTCATGCGATATACAGAAAGTGAAGTTTGGCATTTGTATATATATATATAACTTTTAAAAAAAGGAAATTGAAAGTTTTATGTTTTTAAAATTTGATCTATAAATTATGTTTATGCCAACGTTATTGATACACGTTGATAATAAATTACTTTAATTAAATTTTGAATGTAACTGTAAAAGGCCGTGACATACGCACTTTTACCTATTCGTAGCGAAAGGGTTAACTCTCTCAATATGGGCTTGGTCCCAGGGACCGACCATGTGAACATTTTTTTACTTGTATATAGTTTTAATATTATAACTTTTAATGCATGAAGTGTATCTTCCCAAAATTTGCAGACTTTGAGTAAACATTACAAGTCGTTTGTAAACAAAAAAACTTTTTTAATGAAATATGTTTACTGAAGATTTGTCCGTGAATATATCGAGTCTTTTTTTTTACCAGTTCGAGCGCAAAGTGATTTCATGTTAAGATTAAAGATACTTCATCTCAAAAATCTCAAATTTCATTTGTGTAATCTCTAAAACCTCCTAAATACGTTTAAATTTTTTTTTGCAATTAAACTTTATATTTTATGTGGTATTTTCTTTACCCTAACTGTATATGGTGTTAACTGATTTGACTGACATCATAACCATCATACAAAAAATTAGGAAATAAATCTAAATTACCTTTTCTTTTGTTCTAGAATGATTGCAAATTGTAATACGAAACCACAGTATTTGTTCTAAATAGCATAATTCTTGTAACAGTATACATCTATTTATATTTATTAATTTTTTGTTTTATTGACCTTGGAACTGTATCTGACTAGAAAAACCCTGACACAAGTTGCAAAATACACAGAGCATGTGCAACTCATGTTACCGTATTGACTAGCATAATGCACAAACTGCTCACTAGTATACCCCATGATGATTTTTATTTTATATTTTTTTCTTTATCCTACCTAATAAGTTTCAATTTTTTTCACATTTTAGTTACATTTATAATAATAAATAAATACAACAAATGAAAAATAATAAACCTTGTAATTAAATATCAAACACTTTTCAGCAAAGCCTTATCTTTTATCTGCCATTTTCTATACTGTAACATTATACTTGATTCTCCAGGTTATAGACAAGTTATCAAAGTATAACAAAATAAAGGTTGCAAAGTGTAAAAAAAGTGTATAGTATTGTTAGTATTTATCACAAAGTTTCAAAGGATTTATCATCAGAGTTTACACTCCTCACCTTTTCACACTTATTTTCTGTAGTAATTTTATTGTTAGAAGCTGACTTAGAAACTAGATGAAACAAAATGAATAGTACTGTCTGTCTGTTTCTTTATGAATCACTAAGTTCAAAAGTAAAATTCCTGAGAGTTACTTCTAATCTTTTCACACTTATTTCCTATGTTTGTTCTACTATTAGCAGCTGAAGTAGAAACCTGCTAAATATAAAGCAGTGAATTGCCACTCCTTACTTAGTTTGACACCGTAATATCAAATAAGCTTATGCAGTGCAATTCCCAGAACTTTCCCTGCTTTGAAAACACAGTGGGGTAGGATTTATCAACTTGTTGACAGTATAATGGTTTCAATGACAATTGTCTAAAGTATTATAAAATGTTTGCATTATGGCTTTGTAGAAAGTCCAAGTTGATCCAATAAGTTGATATAAGGTTGTTTCCTACATAGCCTATATGAATCTTGGCTCTGAAAACACAGTGGGGTAGAATTTATCGGCTTCTGTACAGTACACTGGTCGCAACAAGAATTGTCTAAAGTACTTTATAAAAATGAAAGAAAATACTTATGATATGGCTCAGTACAAAGTTTTTCCTATCCAATAAACTTATTAAGTATTTGGATGTCAGTTAACCTCCTGGGTGGTTGGGATTTAATGTTAATATAGGTGTAAAAGTGTGTAAATGCTTATGAACATCCTGTTTCCTATATTACCATGCTTACACAGTAGCCAATAAATGCATAGTTTCCAATAATATATATATGGGCCATTTTAGTTGAGCTAGTATTTTTCACTTAGCCTTCTTGCTTATCATTTTAGAAACAAATTATTCCGTGAATATTTTTGTTTTAATGTACAAGAATATGTTCTAAAACATGCTTGATAAAACAAAAGTACAAATTTCTTACTCTTAGCACTAGTGTACCAGCCAAATACAGTAACATTTTGGTAAATTGCTTGTGTGTATATATATATTATTATTTTCAAATAAATACTTATATTTTGGTTATTTTTATAAATAATGTTTGGAAAACAATGATCTCTACTACTTATACTGCTATGAAGTCCTTGTTTGTGCTTGTAAGTTGTACCTGCTAACCCTCATTGTAAGCCTCGTCCAAATTCATATGTGGAGATGGAAAAGTAATAATTTTTTTTCAACTTTATATATGCATCTTGAAATACCAAAAAATTATAAATTACTATTCTGATACCCCAAAAATCCACTATAATTTTACTTGGCTTCCTAACTAAATTGTATTTGGGTCTACAAAAATCTAATTTCTATTCAGTAAATAACCTTGATCGTAATACTTCTAACTTTTTAACGATATAAGAGTTCTTTTGTAAATAAGTTATGAAGAGTTACAGAATTACTTAGAAGAAATGTAGAGCTTTTGATTGCTTATAAAGTTATTGGTATATATAAAAGTAGACCTAGTCTTCTCAAATGATGAAGTTGTGGGCAAAGCCAATATGGTGGATTTGCTAAATATTGAGATATCTTAGCAAATAGAAAAGGTAGGAGGTTCTTATTTTATATTCTAGCTTGCCAACATCAGAAATTTGAGTTTCTAATTCATAAGAAACTATAGACATTGTATTGCATCATAATGTGATAAAACCTAGAAGGTGATGTACCATGTGACACACAAATTTATATTTAGCCTCTTTTTTTTTAATATCTACCTTCAAATTAAGAAATTAACTAATATATAATACTAAAATTTGAATTATAATTTACAATTTGATGCCAAACTTAATAACTTTATAATGTAATAGTTAAATGTTTTTATTACATGTTACTTATTCATTAAGTATTCTTATCATAATATACATGTATTAATATCCATCATTATAATTTTGCTATTATTGTTTTCATATGTGAAGCCTATTTTAGCAGAATTCCATGCTACAGACAAATATATCTAGGCCTAACATGAATAAAACTGCTCTTAGACTGGTGTCCTACATAATGGCCCACAGCACTGGTTGTTCAGTACATTATTAGGCCTTGCATTATTTTAAAAATGTTTTGTTCACCTCAGGTCTTAATACAGTGATACAGACACAGGCAAGTAGATTTACACAGTTATCAACATAATTAATATTGATATTATGGCCATCATAGATGCCATGAAAAAGTATTTAATATATAGTGTAGTTAGCTTCTTTTTTTTGTGTAATAGTTAGTTTTATTGTGAAATCTCTGTTAGATCTTATTTCCTGATGGAATATAACTTTTTACATAAAGAATATATTTTGGCAGATATAGATTTGGTTCTATTGTTTTGATTCTTTCAGAACTCTTCAGACTTGATTGGTTTAATCCAAGTGATGATCATTGTCTTTGGGGAAACACCTCCGGTCTATTCTAAGCCCAAAGTTCAAGAAACTTCAACAGGCTATCCACCATATCCTCCTGCTGCTTCAGGTTAGCTAGAAATTACAAAAGTTGAAAAGGTTGATGAATAAAGAATGTAACTAATGTTTTGGTATAGAGTTTCATGATTGAAAAAACATTTTAATGTATTATGTCAGAAAACCTGCTTAACCTGCTAGTCTTAGTTAACATAGTATGAGACCATCTTTTAGAGCTTTATTTTTAAAAGTTATTGTGAGTATAAATTTATATATATATATATATATAATCCAATTAAAAGTAAATATTATTTAATGGCAGTTTTAGTATTTGAAAGAAACGTTTCAGACATAAATATAGAAATTAGCATAAAAATTGTAATAGTAATACTTTATAAACATTTACTATTGATTTCTTTTACCGATATGTTATTAAACAAACAAGCACGTTAATAAGTGAACAGTTGTTATTGTAGTTTAATTGTATGGATATGTATATATGCTTTCTGTTGCTTTCAACCTATATGGAGCATAATTCTTTGGTTAGGCCCTTTTTTTGTATGACATTTCCTGAGTTCACTCAATCTAGGTACAAATTAAGTAGGGAATGAAGATATCCAGAAACTGGTTTAAAACAATAAATGTTAACAATATTACCAAAGAATTAATCTTTGTTTCGTCAATTAAACATCTTGGTAGGATATGAATATCTTAGTCTGGTAATAGTATAACTATTACACCACCATATAGTAAGTTGTAACTGACAACTTGTTTGTATAGATCTTCTGAAAAAGTAAAAATTAAACCATCGTGTGATTTAAACCCATAACTGCGTACTGGTCAATTAGTCAGTTAGTTTTAACCACGTTTGTTTCAAATGCTGCAAACTCAGCTTTTACATCATTAGTTTATTAAGGAAAGAATCTTGAAAACTCTCTTTAAATGTTGTTTTACTGCAGAAAATTTAAAGTTGGCTTACAGTTCATAAGCAAAGTTTAATTGTCTGAACAGTGTTACAGTAGTAGTAGTAGTCTTATTCATATGCTCATTGGTCCAAGCTGTTTAGGCTTAATGTCATAGAACTTCAATAAACATGATCATGCATAATTAAGTTTGTGTGATTGTTGTTGATGCCTTGAAAAGTATTATTTTTTTTCCTAATGTAGAAGCCTTCCCTAACAGAATATCACATAAAGTGATAACAAACAAATTTCAGATTTTATGATACTTGTAATTTTGGAAGAAAAAAAAGAAGTTCATCATAACTACTGAATGAGCAGTGTAGTACTTATTAAAGTGCAGTTTAAACAAAAAATAAAGTTGTAAAGTGTGCATTTATCATTTGGCTACAGTAAGAATGTCCTGTAATTTTATAGAGTAGTTTTTGAACAGTTTTCTCCAACTACAATAAATAATCTTTCAATTCCATAATAAAATTTTTACATAATGTCTCCAGTATTTTAGCACTCGCAGGTGCATGAGGTTTGAAGTATATTACAAGTTTTTTGGACACTGTGTATTTGATCTAGTGGAATTAGTTTGTAAAAGTTAAACTAATGAGGTTTGTGATGTTAATTGTAGTATTCTAAACTGAAGAAAGGAAAAATGTATGCCATTGGAAATATTTTTTTACACTTAATCCTAATTGCAAGATTTTTATATGTTACCTAAGAGCTAATGAACTAGTAGCATTAAAGTCAACAGTGGAAAGTGGCTACATAATCATATGTCAATAAGGAATTTATTTATTAATAAAATAAAAGCATTTGGGGTCATTATAGACCCTATTTCAGTAGTTAAGGGTTAAGCTTATTATATAGTATATTCATATTCAATTTATAATCATAGTTTTATTAGATTCCTTAATTAATAAACACTTTGTAAAGTGTGACTTAAGTCTGAAGTAAATAGCCACTGAGAAGTTAAAGGCTGATCTCTCTTGTTTTACAATCTGGCATGCCATATTTGGAATCAATAGCTGTGACTCAGGTGTGTGCCACATTTCATGGAAATCCTTGTAAGTGGTCATTTTGAAACTTCTGCTTCTGTATCGTGACTGTTTCTTGGCTTTCTTCATCTTCATTTTGTAGTTCTCAGGTTTCTTCAGCATGGTTAGATGTTATAATTGTTAAAGGCATGATATTCGTAGTCTGTCTTTGAACAGTAAAAATTATACCTGCACCTTTCTAAGTTTGTTTAAAGGAAATATTTTTGAATTCCTGACAAAAATATTAAAATGCATAAAACTCGGGCCATCAAGCAGTATTATTTTGGTAAAATGATAATTTCTAGTTTTATTGATTTTGATCTTGTGTAGTGTTTTCTGTAATAATTGTTACATTAAAGCTGAATTTTCATTAAATAAACTGAGTTGTTTCCCAAAATATTAGATATTTTTAATGCTCATTTTGTTAAAATTGTGTTTTTCATGAATTTAAAAATTGAGAATAATATATTTTTCAGTTTTATAGCCTAATGCCATTTAAAATTCCAAGACAATAACTCGCCTCTGCTTACAGTTCAGTTATCTTCCCCGTGTGTCTGCCTAAGAGATTTGTATGTTACTAGCCTTGAGGCAACTCCCACACCTAATTTCATGTGTTTTAACATGAACTGTGCTAGTGCAAGTTGACATTGTACAACAAAAGCCCTCCACCAATAGGAGGGAGACACAACTTCCATGCACTTGCAATCATGATAACTTCGTTCTTCTCCTTGAAATTTTATTGATCTGATGTATTTAAATTCATCTTCTGAGTTCAATTTATTGACATTTGCTTTGTGAATGAAACTTGTATTTTCATTTTCTTTGGCTTTTATTTCAAAAGCTTTAACTTTTATCATGAATTCTGAAATAACAGTGACTTATACATAGTCCTGTGTGAGTGATATTGTTCACACACAGGCTTTATTTGTACTATGGCTTCTGAAGTCTCATTAACTATCAGGGTTGTTGCACCCATTATTCAACATGTTGTAGATTACCACATGCTCACTGGGCCTCCTACCTCTGTCCCATCAATCAATTTTCTGTATCCTTGGTTGGGAACAATCTTTTGGACTATAAATTTCACCTGATTTATTTTAAGGGGTGCCTTACCATTTGAGAAACAACCTTGAATTTCCAGTCTCTTTTTGTACTTCATTCTTGGGTATATTCCTTTCCTTATCTTTTGCCTGTGCTCTTTATTATTTCTCATTTTTTACTCCATGATTATTGGGGTTTAGCTTCTTTTTTTTCTCCTTGCTTGCTTGTTGTTAGATTTAATACTGTTTACTTTCTCTAATATCTCCTCTCACACACCTAAATGCCTCGTTTCCCTCATGTTTTTTTACTTTTTTTGTCCCAACTTGTAGACTTTCTTTTTCTCATTTCCATGTTTTTGGTACCTATTTAGCCAGATTGTGGATCATAGCCCTTACCTTCTATTTCACTTTATAGTTCCATATTTTCACATTTTCATCTTTTTCTCTCTATTGTCCTGTATTCCCTCTCCTAACTCTGCCTTTTATCTGAGGCACTTCATTGTACTTCACATGTTTTCTATAGATATTTGTTTCCTCCTCTTTGCCAGCTTAGCCTGTTCCACTTCTCATTGGGTCAGGTCATGTTCCTCTTTGCTGTACTCTGACACCATGACAATTCCTTGAGGAGAAATTCCATTCAGTCAATTACATAGTCATTTCTTGCACCAACCATCTGAGAGGTACCCATTCCAGGTCGTTTTTCTCAGCCAGGCCTGGTCTCATCTCTTTCCATATGCATATTCCCTTATTTGCCTTCTCCCTTGGGTCATCAACGTTATATACTCTTTGTTGGGTCATATTGTTAGTGCTTCTTTTACCAGTCATCCTTGGTCCACTTGACATTTGGACCCCCTCTTCTCTTCCCAATACATCATCTCTCTTGCTTCACCCTCATGCATCTCCTCTTCATCGAGGGATATCTTCCCTCCATCCTATGTGTGAGATTTGTCTGACCTGTCCTTAGTTGGGCCAGACTTTCTGATTGTGGCATTCTTCATGTCACACTGTCTTTGTCTATCAATGACTGGGTGGATCTTTTGTCATTGGTTCTTCTGCCAATTATTTCCTCCTGGCCATCATATTGTGAACCACCTTTCTATCATTTTTACTTGGCTGTTCATCCATGGTTTGTTGGTCTGTGCTTTAACTAATGATTGGGATGCCTTGTCCACGACATTTCACCTTTCCCAGTGCCACAGGGTGTTTTTTTTCCCCTGCCGTCTCTACTCTGTTCTGCCCCTTTATTCTACTCTGTCCTTCTCGCCCATCTCCCATGCCTGACTGAGACCTTAATGGAGTTTTGCACGATCTCACACATGCCCCATTCAAGCTGTTGACTTCTTGTTTTTTGTACCATCTTTCTTTCCGACTTGTTTCCTTCTTCTTCTTCTTGCCTGCTATTACTGTCATTCAGATGTATATGCTGTATATGCTTCTTGCACATTATTCCACCACACTTATAAACTCCTCTCCCTGGACCTGTCTTTCTTTGCTAAGACTTTGACTACACATGAGGGTAACTCTACTCCTATCTTCCTTCTTTCTGTCTCTCAGACCCGGGTCAGCTCCTGTATCCTCTTTGGGCTATCTGGTGTGCAATATTATGGACCTTTCCTGGCTATTTCAAAATTTTTTGCATTCAATTCATTACCTAGTTCATTTGCTTGCATCTATTCTTTGCCTGCCCTAAGATAAGATTCTCCTGGCTGACATGTGGATGACTCTCCACACATTTGTCTCCTCTACACTCCTGGGTGTTTTATCTTCTGATTCCAATCAACTTCTATCCAATCACCCTATAGTCCTCGAGAAGAATACATACTATTTCTCTTTAAGAGCTCCTTTTTGATTTCACTAGATGGCTGGTGTAGCCTTTCAGGTTATGCTTACTCAAAATCTACATCGAGCCAGGATAACAGAATGTGCTCATACCAACCACCCTGGTTCTACTATCGTCAACTGCGAGGTGTAGTGTTCTACAAGACCACTTAAAGTATCCTTGTGGTAGAAATGTTTACTCAACTGTCAAATCCAGACCATACCTATTCCATGGACTACCATGAAAAAAGCCAGCACCAGGGACGTGTTCTGTCCACTTCTTTGGCTCATGCTTGCTGGCTTTTAAAAATAGTTTCATAGTTACCCATTGCACTGTCTCCAGTAAAAAACCATTCTGGCTTGAGGTCCAATGGAAATTCAGGAACTTCTCCAGGTCTTCCCAATGTGAATTCTTCCCAAGTGGTGTGAGTTATGGTTTAGAGGGGTGACCTGCACTACACTGACAGTGTCACCACTGCTCCACTTCTCATTGTATTGTGCTGTGCCCATCCAGCGAGGATTCTCCATGGTCCACCATCCCAGTAGCTAGGTAAGTGGCATGGGTCTCCCATGTTCCACTAAACAAAGGTATGCCCTCCTCCTGCAGCCTGAGCATGTTCAGTTGAGTTGAGGTTAGCACAAATTTTACAAAACGATAATAAATAACTGATGTGCCTTACTCCTGCAGCCAGTGTCTGTACAATAGTGTCAAGTTGAGCACACACTGTACAACATCATACTGCAGAACTAAAGTGCCCTTCTTCTGCAGCTGGAGTCTGTTCATTAGAGTTAAGGTAAGTACAGAAGTTACAGTCTGAACGTGCCCCAACAACGCTACACATATTGGTTCATCAACCACTTGTGTGCAAGTCCTTGGGCAGTTATGTTCTCATTCCATCCATCCATGTGACATGTAGGGCTCATTTGCCTCTTCTCCCTTTACATTCCATGTGAAAATTATACACTGGTCAAGAAGAAATGTGGTCTCCCATGGGTGTACCCCTATAGAACCCCTGCCATGTGTCACACTCCATGAGCTCCCCTTTGGGTGCTTTCTGAAGGGAGCTCATATCGGTAATATTTTGTACCAGCCCCTCTACCAATTCAGTGCAGAATTCTAGCTGAACTGTGTGAGGATGTGAGTTATCGTCTCACAAGTTAACATTTTCTAATCTGAAAATGTATTTCCAATAGATAGTCACCTCTTCACTCATCTCATCTCCCCCAGTGCATATTTTTGTCTTACCTCATCACAGAATGAAGTTATCATTATCATTAAGTTATCATAATGTGATAAGATGGAGCATTTTTATTTGCTCATCAAAGTATGTTTACCTTAGGATTCCAAATATTTATTGTTATAATTATGTTGATAATTTTTATAATAATAATTGTTTTATTGTTTTGATAATTAGATAAGTTTTAAACTTAGTTTATTTGAAAAGGGGATATTAAATTGCTTATTGTACCCATTACTTTAGGTGTTAGATCCATGCTAACTTTAAAATGTGTTAGTGAACCTAAAAGAGTGGTTATGTAGTAAATGAAAATAAGATGGTTGAAAATTAATAGATTAATATGTACGTAAAAGTGTATTCCTTTATACATTACTTTTATACATTTTTTTTTTGCTATATATAAGCTTTATGCTGTTTTCTGGTCAAGGGAATTAAGCATTGATCTAATGACCTTAGGTTAAGTGATGGTATTAATCACATTCTTTTTCTCTTAAGAACTTGAAACGTACAAGTGCATAACAGTTTGATATTGTTCATTAAACTGGTAATTTCACCTTAATTAGATGCTCTACAAGTGTGTTTAGATTTATATAGATTAATCAGTATATTTAGACATTCTGTGTAGTGAAGTAAAGAAACTTTACAAAGCACGTCAACTAAATAGTGCCTTGGTATGCAGGTTACATGCCTATGCCAGGTGTTGTGAGCAACCCGACTTATCCTCCTTATCCAACTGCAGCCAATGCAGGGCCTCGGCCATCATTTCCTATGCCTCTCAGTTCTGAATCATCACAATACAGACCACAGGCCACTGGTTACCCACCTTATCCAGGTAGAACTGATATATTTTTTCGGAGTAGAAGTTTTTCTCTAACAAAGTTATACCAAGATTTTTGAATGAGTTAATAAAGGTTACCTTTGGTTTCAGCCAGTTCTGACTAGCAATATCATATATTTTGATTTAAATCTTATGCAAGAAGAAATGGAGGATTTGATAAGCTGATCATTTGTGTGTTTTTAAATATTATTTATAATAATTGATTCTAAACTTTTTAAAGAGATTAAAGCATTTAAAAGTTTATTTTGTGTTTTTATTGTAAACAATCATGACTGGAAAAATACACAGCATGTCATTTAACGTGCAATAGCAAGTGGCCCGACACTGTCGTTTACAACTGTGAATTTGTATTAAAAAAGCTTTCATTGTTTTAAAGGGCTGATATAGTAGTTTCTTGGTTTTTCCCTCTAATATTACTTCTAGACATTATAATTTTTTATCATATAGTTGTTCCTGTATGTCAACTTGATTTACATTAAATCTACTTAGTTTAGTTATTGAAATTAAATTGCAACTTAAAACCCTAATTTAAAAAAATATTTATTCATAATTAGTTTTTGGTCTTTAAGATCACCATTTGTTTAAAACGTGCTTTTAACTTCATATTTGTACTTTCTATCATTTTTTTTAGCCTACCCACCAGCAAGTAATTATCCTGTGTATTCTACACCTTCAACAGTAGGATATTCTTCTTATCCCCCAGTAGGTAGTCAACCCTCAATGGGTTATCCTTCATATCCTCCATCAACAGTTCCAGCAGTAACTCAGCAGAATGCATCAGGTCAGGCTAATACTGGGACAATTTCGGAGGAACACATTCGTGCATCTCTCCTCTCAGCTGTCGAAGACAAACTAAAGAAAAGGCTGAGAGAGGTGATAGCTCAGACGCAGGTATTTGATTAGGTTTGAGTTACTTAGAAACATTATTCCATTACTTAATAAATTATAATTACTGATGTAACAAAAATAGATTTTAAATTTCTTTTATGTTTTTATGTTACAAAAGTATTAAGGTGCATTATAAATGTTAAATAGCAAAATGTAAGTGACTAAACTCTATACTAAAATTTTCAGGCTGAAATTCAGGTCCTTAAGAAGACTCAAGATGATCTAAATAACGGAAAAATTAAATTGGATGACATTATAAGCAAGTTAGAACAGGAACAGGTTTGTTATTTGACATTTCTTTCTGCAAATTATATGAAGATAAGCTGAACATATTTTACTATGAAACTGGAATCCTTTCTTCATGATTTTCTCAAATAGAACATGAAATACATTTTCATCTTAAAATTTTGTGCTGGTTGCTACTTGTTAGCTTGAATTTGAGCTAATATTTCTATTAATTGTGCTACATGATAGAATTCAACTTGATACTTGGTTTAATAGGTGTGTGGTAGACATAATTTTCAGATGTTTGGTGATTAATTATTGCATCGTAGGTTGAAAGTACTATTTTTTATATTAATTGTGGCTGAACTTCAGCCAAATATTTAATATTTATCTATTAAATGTTATGTTGAACACTTTTAAGTTAACATCTGTGTATTAATTGTTGCATGGTAGGTTTAAATCCAACCTTATGTTAGCATGTTAACTGATAATAATAAATTTAAATTCAGCCTGATATTTCTATATTAATTATTACATGGTAAGTTTGACTCCATTATATTTTTCTTTTAATTGTTACATGATAGGTTTTAACACCAGTCTGATATCTGTGTATTATTATATAGTTGATTAAACTTCAACCTATTATTTTTTTTACTGGTTATTATTAGGGTGAATATTCACTTAATGTACTTGTACTCATTATTGTTTGTTGTTTGGATTATTACTAATTGAATGATTGCTGTGTTTAACAGTTACATACAGTTTGTATACTACATGCATTTTTCCAGATCATAATTACTTCATATATTGCTCTACTAATCTTTACTTGGTTCTTTCAACCTAATTTGGTTAGACTTAATACTGTTGTAATACATATTTTTATTAACAGCATAATTATGCTTTCACATTTTAGCATTTGATAGGTTATAAAGGTTAAATATATTACATGAGTATCTGTGTGTTAAGCTGTTAGTTTTGGATTATGGATTACTTCCTATAAAATGTTTTACATCCCTCTCTGTAAAAAAAAGTTTTATGTTTTAAAATTAAATTTAAGTCACATACTACCTGATGACAGCTGTTAGAAAGGAATATTTTAAATATTGCTTATAATGTGAATAATTAATGTAATTGAAAATACAGGCTGATTATATAGCTTTGCAGTTCAGTGTGTTATATCTCATGAATGGTATAGGAAAGTGCAATTGCACAGGGTTGATAAGGATATTCAGCAGATCCAAATGCAACAGTTGTCATATGTTCCACCAGGGGCATCACTGTGATTTCTTTCACCTATTTCCCATGGATTTAAATGGGTCTGTTGATCACGTTGCAGCTCATTCAGTCGATATGAAACTGACAAGTGTGCCGAGAGGTGAACTAATTAAAGAAAAACCAAAGTATCCAATGTTGAGGTAACTCTCAGGTAATACCGTATAGTATATAACATCTGAAGAGGGCCTTGTTCCAGTGTTGCTGTACAAAGGTTCATAAAAATAAAAATATTCGAGCAGACAAATTGCACTTGTGATATGTCATAGACAGGCAGATCACTAACACCTACTGAAGCTATTGCTGAGGTTAGCCATGCCGTGGCAGGACAAGCCAGCACACGGGTGCAGCAGTGCATGTCACTTTGTGTCTGAATTTGCCAGTTTCAACTCTTCCTAATATATTTCAGTTGACTTTATGAATGTTTCCTAACAAGTTGCATCATGTTCAATCACTGTAGGAGATGGATTTAACATTAAATATTGATTTTTGCATTGCAGTTTCTTGGCAAGACTGAAGTTGAAGACATTGTGTTGCCAATATGTTATGGACTAATAAAGCCCTCTGTACTCATTCTGGAAGTGTCAGCATGTGCAACTGCAATATCTGGTCAAAAACTAATCAACATTTAAATGTGATATTTCACAGTTTACTTTGTTATTGGACCATATCTTTTGTAGATCCCTCAACATTGACAGTCAATGCTACACAGTATAATGTAATGCTCACAACCAAAGTGATTCCCATGCTACAACAAGGAAATATGATAGACACTACAGTTTCATGCAGGCTGGTGCCCCTCTGGATATTGTTAACCAGGTGAAACACATCTTCAGAACAGAACCACTTTACATCACTTTCCTTGTGATTGCCCACCTCCTTCACCATACCTAATGCCAACTGATTTGTGGTTCTAGGTGACTTGATGTCAGATGTGTACCATGGGAAGCTTCACACAATTACAGACCTAAAGGATGCAATTATCTGGGAAGTGATCAGCATACCAGATGAAATGTGTTTCGTTATTGTAATGTCCGCTGTTACACAGATGCAATGCATTCTGGATGCTGGAGGAACAAACTTTGAACAGTTTCTGTGATTGATTAGACATAAGGTCTTGATGCTGCTCCTGGTGACAACTGTGGCATTTGCTTTGACATAATATTCTTAACATTCCTGTGTAATTTCACATTTGTATGCCATACCATTTTTGAGATATGACATGCTGAATTACCAAACACTTTTTATAATCATCCTATATCCTTTATTCCACACACAGAAGCAAAATAATTAAGTTTTTATATTTTCAAATGAGTGATAAGAATAATTAAAAACAAAACATTGAAAGTGTACTTAGAGCTGAGAAGTATGTTAGAAGCACTCGTTAACACACATGCATTAATAATGTTTTAATAACTCATATAAACTTGAATATTAAATTTTTTGATTTTTGATAAATGCAACTGTCATATAGAAATTGCAATATCAAATTTTAAAATAAAAAGGTGTTACTCATCATTTGTCTGTTTTATAGGTAAACATAGACTAATGAGTGACTGTTTTTATTAAATATATCTTCTTTTTTTTTCTTGATTTCTTTAATCTTAGGTCGAACTTGAGTCTAATGTTCGTATACTGAGAGAAAAGAATAATGAAATGAAAGAAATTCTTTCAAAAATGGAAGATCAAGATGGCGTAGAAATTGATGATGCTGTAGTCACTACAGCCCCACTCTATAAACAGTAAATTGAATATTTGCACTAAGGTTTATTTGATAGGCACCGTTTCAGTAGTTTTAAAATGAAACTTTAAAAATTAGTTAAGTGCATGGGTTATTACACATGTGGTTTAAAAGCTAAGTGGTACTGAATTGTTTAATTATATATATCTCTTGTGTATATTTTAGTTTTGTTACATTTTTTACACCATCGTTAGCCCTTTCCGGACCAGATAGGTGTCACATATACTTTTTTATTTTTGTTTCCCCCTTCACACAGTAGAAGTGCCTAACTTTTTAACACAAAATTTATACAAGCTTACTAAATAATATCTAGTCTCAGCTTTAAAGAAATTCTTCAAATTTGAACTACTTTTTTCTATCATTTTTTACATTGTGAAATTTATAAAATTTTGTTGTAATGCACTGCTTGAAAGAACATATTCATTAAAATATTTCATTTGATTATTTGTTTTGCCAATTGTATTAGCCACCACTTCCAACTATCAGTACTAAAAAAGAGAGAGGAATAAAAAGTTATCTGTGACTTAAGACCTGACCTTAAAAATTGTGAGATATGTGGTTTGTTCTTGTAACTTTCTTATTAGATTCCTTTGTTAATCTCTGCAGAGCTCCCTCTAGTTACTTTCCCACAAAACCATTATCTACTGCTCACACCTCTTAATTTTCTTTACTTTGATATAAACAGTTTATAATTGGTTCCATTCAATCATATTTAAATGTCATCTGTAGCTATTTTCTTAGCTGTGCTTCCTTTGTAGTTATTCAGTCCCTATTATAGTAACATCATTAAAGGGTGGCTGAAATAATTACTAAAACGGAGAGGGAAAATCATGAGAGAAACAAGATATGGTTAATTATATTATCAAGAGATTATAGTTTCTTAGCTGGTAAAAAAACCTTTATTTAAAAATTGATAAGTGAACAAAATATTTAAAAATAGGAGTTTTTAATAAATGATAAATGTATTGTTTAAGAGTAAGATTCCTCTGAGCTGTATGAAATATAAGTTTGAACATTTTTCTTTGCAAATTATTATAAATAAATTTCGCAGTAGGATAAAATATCAATTTTATAATATTTTAAGTTAGAAATTGTTGAAATAGAGTTTTGAATTATTCTTTCCTTAAATTTCGAGGTTTTTGATATTCAAGTTTTCATTCAACATTGAAAAGAGCTTTCTAGTCATGATATGGTTAGTGTTTCTACTGTTCTTCTCTGTGTATTCTGCTTCCCTCTGGGTGAGATAACTATGGGGCTGTCAAATAATTCCCACTCCCCACTGATAGCTTGTCTTGGCCATTCAACTGTTGTTTCTTAGTACTTAAAACTTATATTACTTTAGATGGTCTGGTCACAGTTCTTTCCCTTGGCATGTCATACTTGCAGAATTAACTCTTTTTTTTTTTTTCTCATCAAAGAACCTCTTGTTGCTATGACTGGTTTTTCCTTGCTTGTTTCATGAATTATTAATGTTTTTTCTTATTAACTTTCTTGCCTTTGAGATATATTTTTCTTATGAACTCCAAATTTTGCATAAATGAGGGAAAACATGGATGTTCTCTTTCTGTGATAGAAACCCTGTATATTGCCATTTTTCAGCTGTTAAAATTTCCTCTACTTTCTGTGCATGTTAATATTACTTTGGCTTCCATGTTTGGTTAAATAGGATATCACTCTATATAGCTTGCAGATGATCATCAAAGCCTCTCTGAAGAAGCATTTTGTTCTTTCAAGTTAGATTGTCATAGTATAGGGGAAGGTACATTTAGTACCAGATTTTCTATCTTTGTATGAGATGTAGCTGATAGCTTGTATTTGTGGAGAACCAAATCTGGAACCACTTTTTTTTTCTAACCCATTGCATGTAGGATATAGGTTTGGCTTTCAACAGTGTTTGTTTTTCCTATTCTTTGGTATTTTATTGCAGACAGAGCTAATTGGTATATGTTAGAGAATGGCAGAGTCTTTTATCTCAACTGGTTGGACTCTTCTCAAGTGGTTTCATTGCTTATAAGTTGCAGATTCTGCATATACCCTCCTTTCTTAATAGTTGATTGATTCTAGTTCAAGACTGGGGCCCCCTTTATCAGTTTTCTGTGTTGGATGATTTTTCTTTCTTTTCAGTTTAGACAAAATGTATATCCACATGTCTTGCAACAAAAGTTTATATACCCATTTTTTCAAACTTACTGTCCAGTAGATTACCCTTACTCTTTGAGTATCTTTCTAGACTGTTGCCCTGGCTTATTGGTTGTCGTTTTGTGGGTTGTTGGCTTCATTTTTTGCATCTTCATTGTTCCCAAATATCTAGGGGACTGACAAGTTTTAGAACTTACCACGTTGAATTGGTTTCTCCCAAGACCTCGTTTCAAGATGAGAACTTTTCCATTTCCCCCCTCACCTGGGGAAATGCTGTTGGAAGTTGAAAGTAAATATCTTCAATATTTACTTTCATATTCTGATTGATCTGCTTGCATGCTACCTTTTCTTTGTTTAAATAAACCAAATTTTACTGTTTTGGATTCTTTTCTTCAGCCTGGGGTTGGCTTCCTTTGATATTCTGAGCCATGACTTCTTATATCCATCAGCATGTAATTAGATTCTTTGACAGCCGGCTGACTTTGTCACATACTCAATCCAAGGAAAGAGTGGATGCACAACACTTCTAGAAGCTCATAGCAAGTTTGAGTTGGTGATGAGGGTTTTCAAGTCTCATCTTCTTTTAACTGTTTTTGATCCATCTGGTCAGTTCACATCAAGATATAATAATAGTATTCAACTTTCACCTCACAGTTGCTGGATTTAGAGTCTTGAATGCTTGGGATTCTGCTTTTGGAGACTTTGCCTTTGCATCATGTATTTTTCATACTTAAGTTCTTGGTTGCTGCTGCTTCTTTGATTGCATTTGGAATTAGCTGACCTGTGACATCTATAATAGGACTTAGCTTCCCAGTGAAAGATATCAAAATGCTGTCTTTCAGAGGAAATGTTCTTTTTAATGAGGAATCAGAAGGCTTTGAGGTGGTGATGCTTGGACAGAATCTGTACTACTTAAACATTCCTTGCAACTTTCCATGCCAGATCTTCATTTTAGAAATTGTTCTTTGTAGTATGAGGTCTCCAGAAAAGTAGGAGTTTCATCGATATTTTGTTGCAGTATAGAAGGCTTGCGTGAGCTTTCTAGATTGTTAAAGGTAATAATACAGTTGGTACTTACATCAAAAAAGTGCATAGTACCATGCTTTTAGATTTTGTGTATTGAGATTGGGCAGCTTACATCTGGTCATTTCACAAGCTTATCTTACGGGAGTGAATCTTCTGGCAGATCAACTGTTGAAACAAAGAAAGGCCTTGAAAATGGAATAGACAATTCATTCCTCTTCTTTCCAACATCTTAGTTGTCCTATGATAGCTGCATTTGTGTCTTTATGGAACCACAAGTTAGTTTTTCTATTTTTCAGTCCTGATTCTTTAGCCCAAGTGGTAGGCAACTTTGCCCATTGTTACACAAGGTTTGTCAAACACTGTGCAAGGTTCTTTTGTAGTTGCACTTATATCAAAAGTATCTTCTTTTGCAAATGCTAAAGATGTGAGATGGGACCTCTGTATCTATTCCCACTTTGGAAACACCTGCATTAAGGCAGCCAAGATCTGTATTTATTAATCTAGAAATTTTCTGGCTAAGTCTTCACTTTTGATTTTCTCACCTGTCTTTTTATCAAAATTACCATGTGAATACTATTTAATTTTGAAACGTATTATTAATTTGTATTTTGTCATCATATGCTATTGCTAACTTCGATAAGTTTGATATTGTTTTGATATGCTACTGGATACTTAACAATACAAACTTAAAATATAATTTCTCAGTTGTTAATTACTATATAAATCTGTTCCAGTGCTGTATGTTTCAGTTTTCAAACTTTATTACAGTGTTTGAAAGCTCTACAGGTGAAAAACAGGTATTAAAATCTGTTTTCTTGGAGCTAATCATGTATCTGTTCTCTAGTGCCCATTATACTCTTTAAAATGTATTACAACATTCTGTTTTTAATGAAATACTGCCACGGTATATAAAGCACAACCGTTTCCTACAGTTATTTAAAAAATTAGGAATATTTGAAAATGTTACAAAATGGAGTTTAAACTTCTTAACTACGATCTTTATTTTGTATCATGCATCTTATTTTGAAATATTTCCTTTCAGGTTACTTAATGCTTTTGCAGAAGAAAATGCAACTGAAGATGCAATCTATTTTCTTGGAGAAGCTTTAAGAAAAAATGTGATAGACCTGGATGTGTTTCTTAAGGTAATCTGAATGATATGGTAAATAATGTGATAAGTTATCAAGCCCAATAGTTAAAATAATAAAAGATATTATAGTAAACATTCTAACCAGTACTGTTAACGAAAGAAAAGAGAATAACTAACTTAAAGAACACATAAGCACTAGTGGTTTGTTTCATGCACTATCTCAATTTTCTGTTCTTTGAGGGACATGACATCATTATACACAAAACTTAGCAAACAACATCTTTTTTTACCAGTGGTTGACTCCAACAGGTTAATCTCAAAAGTTTAACATTACAGTTTAACTACAAAGTTTGGTAGTAGGACCAGACTCTTATCTTAATTAATTAAAAATTGAAAGGACATATATTTGTGTGCATGAGTTCCACCATGGCTTATATATGGGATATCATTTAACCATGTTTATGCAGGCTTGGTCATTTTGACCAATATTGCAATTACCATGTAACCATACACATGTAGTAAGTGTATCATCACAAAATTTGACAAGCTTTTACTGAACATTAAGAAATGTTTTGTACTCAAAAGATCTGGTTTATTAATTAAGTATTTTTACTAAAGATTTATCTATGAATTTATGGAGTCAAATTCTGACTAGTCTGAGTGCAAGGTGATTTTAAAATACTTTTTTTTTTATCTTACAGTTTTCAAATTTCATTTGCATAACCTCAAGAAACTTCTAAATTAATATCAAAAAAAAATTTTTTTTCAGTAAAAATGTATTTTTCTGTTATTTTTTTTTCCCAAACACTATGCAGGCTTGGTCCATTATATCAACTTTGTAACCACCACAAGCCCCCCAGTGGCACAGCGATATGTCTGCAGACTTACAACACCAGAATCCGGGTTTTGATATCCGTGATGGGCAGAGCACAGATAGCCCTTTGTACTTAATTACAAACAAACAAACCACCACAAAAAATATGAAATAAATCTAAATTACCCCCTTTTTTTTTCCAGAATGCCTGCAGTTTGTAATAGAACATTACACTTATCTTCTTAAACAACCTCAGGTTCATAACAATTTACATCTGTTTTTAGTTAATTTTATTGTTTTATTTCTCTTGTGTCTAACTATTAAACCTTCACAGCTAGCTTAAAAATCACCCAACAAACACATAGTTCAAATTATGGTATTGAATTACATAACACACAAGCTTTTTGTGGACAAATCATTTATTGTTTTTTATTCCTTTTTTTTTCATTTATGTTTTCTTATTTAACCTGACAAGTTTCTAATTTTTACATTTTGTTACTTTAATAACAATAAATAAAAAAGTGCATAAAAACAAAAAATGGTACTAATATGATGTGGGTCTTGTACTTTTTTTTGCAGTCAAAGACTTGAAGTGTCAAAAAAAGTTAACCATAAGTTTTTGCTAGGGTTGTTGTTAATAACCTATTGAATTATTCATTTATTTAAAATATTCAGTTTGGGATTAAAAATAATAACATGCACAAAGCAAACAATGTCCTATAACTATTAAAGTTATGAGGGCATTCAAATAATTCCCTTAGCAATTTTGAATCCATGTGCTGAATAATTCAAAAGCTGTTATGAGAATGAGCTATCATTATACTAAACCAGTAAATTAAAACCTCTGTTTATTATAAATAATGTAATAGCAAATGTCAGAGAGAGTTATTTACATTTTTTGAAATGCAGCATGTGATAGAAGGTATGGCATTTAGGTTGGACTTCCTTATATATATATCTTAAGTAAAACAAGATGATTGGAGGCTATAAGGTTAGATTACATTTTAGCAGTATTTATAAGTTTGTTATTTGCATTAAAACTCAAAATCTCAAATGGGGGGGTTTTCTAAATTGTGTAATTTGGAGCAAACAAGTGTCATGCGATACAGAAAGAAAAGTAAAGATTGAGAATTTAAATATTTCCTTCTGAAATTAGGAAACTAAAACTTTCAAATTTTAAAATTTGATTTATAAACTACGTTATGATGCCAGGTTTATTGAGATACATTGATAATATAGTTTAATTAAATTTTGAAAGTTGACATGCACGTTTTTACTTACCTGTGTCCAGAGGATTTAGAGTGTATGGATAGCAAATAGTTTGGATTTGTACATGGAGTTTATTTTTCACCATTTTGGTGATTCTTGTTAAGTGTACCATTGTAACTGGTTCATTAGTAATGAATGATTCTCTATTTTTATGTGGTGAAGAATATTGATATTAAACTTTAAGATGGAAGACGAATATGTGAAATAAGTATGATAAGCTCTTCAAAGCAAATAGATGTCTGGCTATAAAGTGCTTGATGAATTTTTAGATTTAAGCTACATACAAGTAATGGTTCAATTAAATTGTCTTCATATTTTATGCAAGTTATTGAATATGGTAACTTGATAATAATTTTTGTGTTACTTAAAAAAACAAAAAAAACTGATTTATAACTTTTTAAAGTTGTAGCTCTTTTTTTTTTAAATAAGTTATGTATTAGAAAAAAATTAAAACTTCACGTTTCCATTTAAAGATTATTGCTTTATATTCTTAATGCCTGTACTGAAGTTTTTGGTAACTTTAAGAGTTCATCTTTATTTCATTTGTTATGTATTAGAATTTCCAATGGTCTGAAACCAAGCTAAATTAGTAGTTAAATTATACTTTGGATTTAATATTTTTAACTATATGCCGATATATATAGTCAGTTTATGATATTTGCCAACAAGATTGATATACAGTTTTCTTTTTGAACACAAATACCTTTTAATATACACACAACAGTACAATTTACAATAACAGTTATTACAAACAATGATTTATAAACAAAAGTTTCACAAACTTACAAGCAATATAAAGTCTTCCTTTTAGTCTGAAACTTCTTTGATATCTTATCGAGGGTTCACGATGAGCGAGTTGACGTAGATATAATTCACTTAACCGGAAGCTAGCTAGTTTTGTCATTCATTAATTACTAGCCACACACACCGATATTTTCCTACCGGTGACATTAAGTAATGTTTTCGTAAAAATACT